AATAATAATAATAATACCCCATTCAGACTAGCATCACATTGCGATCGGTTGTAGCAATTGCGACACCCAATCGCAAAGTAAAATCGTGTGTGAAAGCTCACCAATATTAGTCGATATGTAATCAATGTCGCAATTGTTACCCGTTGCGATTGGGTGCTACAATCTTTATTACTCCCGATTACCACGGAATCCGATCGCAACGAATTCCACAGGCACTGTTTGGCTGAGGTCAGTCAAAACAGGCCTGCCACCGGAGGCCTATGCCCTAGAATGTAAAGTTTGTTTGTGTTGGTCTGAATGCGTTCGTTGATTGCGATCGGGAGTAATCAGTTTTGGATTACCACCGATTACATCGCAACCGATCGCAACAGAGTGTAGTCTGAATAGGGTATAATAATAAATAATCATTTCGGCAATACATGTAATTAACCTGGCCTAGCCTTGTAATCAAGAACCTGCAGATTACTGATTACTATGCCTAATATTAATAACTAGGCTTTTGGCCTCATTTATACATTCATTTGGTGCTCTGCCATTTTGGCAGGTCTTATGGCATCCAGTATTTTAGAGCTGCCTATTCTCAGCTCTTCTCTTAATTTGAAAATAATTGTCACCCTGTTTCATTTGATGAAGAAAGCGTATATATTTAGTAGTTAGGCCTAGGTAATTATGCAGAACCCAGGCCTAAACTAAAAAATAAAAATTGTCACAGTATGTAACTCAAGTTAAAATAACACTTTACATTACTCGTGCAGCTCACTCCAATATTATATGTCATTTTAAACGACCCATTAGTATTAACATTTTTAACATCAATGTATTTTTAAAATTAGACAGCGACGTTCTCTCAGTTTGTTTTGTAGACTTTTATCTGTTGATGACCTTTTGACCTCCTGAATTCTGCACTATGAGATTTTCGGGTCGATTCAGTCGAGACGGCCCGAATGGAGTTTCATGTAAATGCTTCGTACGGAAAAAAAATCAAGGCGGCGTAGGCCTGGCGTTCACGTGTAGGCGGGAACTCAGCCTGATAGACTTCAAACAATATTTCGATCATTTGAAACAGGCAAGAATTTGCTCCTTCTGAACTTTGGAGAAGCGAAATATCTTCTTTAATAACGTTTTTTTCTTGGTGAAGGGAAATTCCACCAATGTATTTAGGGATATAAAAAGGATTTTATGTTCTAATCAGTTTCAGTTTCTTTTATTTACAACAAAATCGCAGCCAATGCTGAATTACATGATATTTACAAATGTACATTAAACATCAAAACATCAATCAAGCACAATCAGTGGCGTAACAGGTGGGAGGCGGGGGGTTGGGGCAGACTTCCCCCTGACGGTTTTTACCTGGCTGACCAAGCCGTCGTACCGAGCTGGGTAATAAGAGAAAAGAAAGAGGGGAGAGGGACAAAAAGAGAAAGAAGGGGAAAAGGAAAGGAAAAGGTAAAAAAAAAAAAAGAAAATAGAAAAATAGACAAGAATAAAAAAGAAGATATCATAATAAACCAGGCTCATCAACACCCTGCAACCCCTTCTCCACTTCAAAAAGTGTTCATAGCTCCTTTGATCGGCCGCCATATATTCTCCGCAGTGGCGTAACCACCGGGGACAAGGGGAAAATATCCATCTCTGTGGAAAATCTTTCCCCACCTCTTGAAGATCAAGATGCCCTTTCACCCCCTAAGAGTGCCTAAAAATATAAAAATTCGCGCGCATTTATTGCTGAGGCATGAATAATTAACCCCGGGGGTGGGGGTATGCAACCGTAGCATTATGCAGTTAAAACTCTTTCGGTAGCATAAAATTGTGTGCCACATAATGAGTAAGTTTTTTAGATTTCATTATAGGCCTACATATCGGTCGATAAACATGGTTTATCTGTCATTAATCCAGGTTTGTCAGAAATCTGCCGAAAATTCATGTTTATTGCTGATAAACCATGCTTTTCGACCGAAAAACATGGTTTATCAGTCAATGATCCATGTTTTTCGACTTACTGTGTTGGCTTGCCTAGGAGTTACAGCGCTCTGCTTAATTGTTTTCTCAATTGTTTTCTGGCTTTTTTTTGTTTATCGTTATCGTTATCGAGGAGACTTTCTCAACAACAACAGTTTTTTTCAGAACTACTTACGTGGTGTACCGCAAGCTTCAATATATGTTATCGTTATCATTGAAGTATAAACAGGACTTAAGCCCCAGCCCGCTCGCTGAAGTCACATACACTGGTCACACGGTGTATGTGTAATGTTTTAGGGAGACGTGTCGCCATACAAGCCACGCCCCCTCGACTAAACCAAGCCACGCCACCTCGACATAAACCTGTTGTATTTAGCAACCGACTACTGAATTTATAAACCTTTATAAGAATATACAGTCAAATTTTAATCTTGGAATTGCTTTTAAAGACAGGAAGATTTATTTTCAATTAGGCTAGACTGAGTCCGGTGTTTGCTGTTGGTAATCAATGGGAGGTTATAAAGGAGTGTTTCTGGCATGCCATTGGTTGTTAGACAAAAAGAACATCATTCGCATAAAGAGTCACTGCTTGCTCCGAATCTTTTCAAATGGGAAACCCCAAACCCCTACCTTCCCATTTATTTCAACAACCGACTCGCAGCTTGAAACGTTCTGCTCGAACACCCGACGCTTAAAGTCATTATACTGATTACCATAAATCTAAGCTAACGGCGAAAATCAAGGTAAGAGACGTAAATCCAGTAAAAATTAAAACAAAGGAAGTAAAACATATTTCGCCTCCATTTTGGGGGTCGTTTTTTTTTTCTTTTTGACTGAAATCTATAAACTATTGCATTTAGGCTAAATCTATTCGAATGACAAAGAAAGTTACTAACAGCGATTTTGTAAAGGATGCAGAGAAGAGGCCTGAAAATAGTTACTGGCGTAAAGACTACCTGTCGTTCAAACGTGTGATACCACAAATACCTATATGTTTAGCGACGATAAGGTTAAAAGGAAAATCATACCTTGGATCAAACAACGTTTATTAACCGAATTTACGTGGATTTTTCATACAAAAATGCGTCTACGAAATTCGGTGAGAATTCCCAGAAAAGATCAGACTCACTGCCGTAGCCAGTTAGTTGGACAATTCAGTTAGGACAGTCCCACAAAAGTTTTCTAATGGGTCCACAAATAATTTCTCCACATTTAAAAAAAAAAGCTTCCGCCGAGAGCATGTCTTCTGCTGCATTGACTTATTAAAGAACACATGACTTATATATACAAAATATACGAAGAACTTTATTGCAATCTTTCATTAACATTACAGAATAAGTCAAATCAAAATTAAAGTTTAAAGATGTACGGTAATGTCCCTTGATGATGTCAAAAAAAATCATAAAAAGTAATTTTGAAATCAACTTGCTCATTTTGTAATAACATAAAAATTATTAACTTGTGGATAGAAATTATTTAATTAAAAAAATGTGTACCCTAATTTTTAAACCATAAAATTATATAAAAATCATAATAAAACACTTCCAGTGAATGGAAGTGTTTCTATCATTTTTCACTGTAAACTCATGGGTAGGCACTTTGTAAATACACTAATTTATATGTTCACGTTGATGAATTTATGTTACTTCAAAATGGGCAAGTTAATTTTTTTTTTAAATTGTAGCATGGGACAATACATCTTTAACAAAAGACACACCACAAACACATAAAAACACATAAAAAAAAAATAGAATAAGTCTACAATATGTCAATTTAATTAGGGAACATTAAGTTGACTATTAAAAGTAACTTAAGTGCAAAGTCTTGGTTTTGGCATAAAATATATAGAATCTGTACTTTAAGTAAGGTGAGGGGGTGGGGTTAGGATCTATTATTGTATATTCGTTGCTGATGATGGACTATTGTCGAAATATTGAAACCTATTACGACGATGGCGTTGAGTATGTACTTTGAACCTGTACTGTTATTGAGAATAATCATGGACCTTTCGATGTAGCATTATCGTCGTACACGTGGTGATCGTAGCGGTGGTGTTGTCGTTTGTGAGCTGTGAAATTACCGGGGCTTAGAGTGCCAGGCTTGGACGGAAAATGAGTGTTATTGGAATTTTCAGTGCAATGTGGCAGCCGATCGTTCTTTGGGGTGGGGGAGAGGGTGATACTATCTGCGTGGTGTGAGTCGAAGTAATAGCGTGAAACCTGTTGATAATATGACTGCAACTATCAACGATAAATACTGTACCTTTTGAAAATAACATAGTTTGGAAGGTTTCGGTTAAACATGAATTTTTTTATGCAGTTGTATTTATTTATTTATTTTTTTTTTTATTGAATTTTTACTCCCCTATATCAATGATTGCCTGCGTGCAATAGATAACTGACGATGGTAGTGGACTGCCGAAACATGTCTTATTGGGGCCGTTAAGGCCATAACTTATTTGATTAAATACAGGCTTTGCCTATGATGAAGATACGATCTGTTGTGTTGTTTTTGAAAATTATTAGCTGTCTGCTGTTCAATCGTTATTTTTTACAATTTTTAAAGAGGGTGACCTACCGGTATCCATTTCCAGCATGAACTGATCATTAAGGGCCCTCGATTTAAAAATATACATACATTAAAACATTTAAAATATTGAGTATTCAAAAGACAAAAAAAATTAAAAGGCCTACAAACTACAATAAAAACAATACATTAAAACAGTTAAGGTCATTCAGAAATATACAAATTTATCTATTAATAATTTGCTTAAGTATAAATTTAAAAGAGTATAAATTTTCACTCTCACCATCCTATATTGAACACAAACTTAGTGGTACGGTTTCTAGTGGACAGATGTGAAGAAGTAATATCGACAACGAAGGAACGTAACTTACAGATCTTAAATGGGTTACATATCGACAGCTTTGAAGGCACGTGACTACCCCAAGTGGACAATGACAGTGGTGAAGAAACATAGACAGAAAACAACAGAAAAACACAGATAGAGTGGGGGAAAAGCAGTACAAATAACAAGGCGAGATGAAATATATGTTTACCTTACGTTCAAGGGATGTCAGAAAGAATCAGAGATGTCCTCAAGAAACACCAAGTAGGTTATTACTACAAAACACTCAACAAGCTTAGAGAAATACTTGTGCACCCAAAAGAAGTGTGGAGCTATTTACCAGGTTAGATGTAGCAACTGTGACGCTAAATATATAGGGGAGACAGGCACTAGGCCTTTCAGAGTAGATTAGAAGAACACAAAACAGATGTCTGTACCAACACCTCAGGTGGAGTACGCACTAGAGATACACGTGCCTCAACCTCCGATATTATACACAATTGGCCAACACGGACCATATGGTCCGGTTAAATCACACCCCGGACTGGATAAATACAAAGTGATTGGACAAGAAAATTGAAAAACATCAAAGGAAGATTAGAAAAGCTATATACGGATAAGACGCACTAACAACACCGCGTGAATAGGGATGAAGGAGGTTACGAGTTGTCCCAGTTCTACGACGAACTCCTGCACCAAACCTCAGGTCCAAGAGGAGGGGGCCCGGGTGGACATTCTGCTGTGCAACATCGCAGATCGCACCCGTCATCATTACATCATGACATTGGCTACTTGCCAATGTCATTCAGAGGAAGAAGGTCCGAGAATGCGGATTGAAAGCGACTGGTGAGAAACAATCCATACAAGCATAAATGAAATTCGAAATAATACTACACTTGAAGCTAAATGTTATTTGATCATATAAATTTATGCATAAAACGAGTCCACTTTTGATAAATGGGTCCCGATTTCTCATATTTAGCCTAAAATCGGTAAATTGTAAGAAAATTGGTCCACATTTTTCATATTTTTGCGTAAAATGGGTCAACTTTAAAAAAAAATGAATCCACATTATTTGAATTTACGCGTAAAATGGGCCCACCCTGATATTGTCCTGCAATGTTTGGATCCTGGCTACGGCATTAGTTAGACTCCATTGTCTACCTGGTGAAAATTTCATTTACAACACACGTGCAATGTTAAGCTATATCAGTTGTTTAAGACACACACCACAATTAAACACTGTCGAATACTGAAAATAACTAAAGATGTTTAAATTTGTATATGTTATGGTTGGAAATAAAACAAACTAAACAGGGGCGGATCCAGGAATCAAAAGAGGGAGGGTTCAACATTTTTGTCAGAAAAAAAACCCCGAAAATGAAAGGGGGGTCCGGTGGTCCTCCCCGGGATAATTTTGATTCCTAGATGATTCCCGAATTCTGAGGCGTTAATAGATATGTAGTCTTTCTTGGATCTCATGGATCGATGAACCGATGGGCCTGAAGAACGCACTTTCGTACATAAATTATTATGACGGCGAACCAAAAACAGTGTGTATAATTTATTTAATTGAAAACTAGATGGGCTAATCCTAGTTTGTCTGATCTTCCAACCTATGCCTACCGTTAGGTAGGTTAGCATGCCTTTTGTAAGCCAGGACCCAGTTGTATTTCGTTACGTTTCTTCACGGACGGGGGTTCGTCCGAACCCCTTGAACCCCCCTCCCCTGGATCCGCCACTGCTAACTACGAATGGTATATTTGATATTTGTTAAGTTGAAAAAGTAATAATTTTGCCCTATATATAGAATTATGCAATTGTTTTACGTTTAAAGGGGCTGGACTTGATTAGAGTTTACACTTTTTTCTGGCTCCTTCCTATATTGGTTTATGTATTTATTTGAATTTTAGATACTTATACTTATTGGAAAATAAATTTGAAGTTGAAGTTGAAGAACTAAAATTTAAAAAAAACAAACTTGTGGTTGGAAATAAAACGAATACACTATTTCTGTTTTTAGATTTTAAGGCAAATCAACCGAATTTTACTATACCCACACATAGGCCTAGTATGACAGAATGTCGTTTCTATCTGCCACCAATCCACTATTGATTCCATGGGAGGTCCATGGAGATACTGTAGAAGTAGAACAGAACTGCCAAGCTTTTTCACATAAGGTCACATTCGACTTCAACACATTTGACGGAGGGGTCACGAAAAGGTTTTTTGTTTATTTTTACTTTCCCTATATTAACAGCCATTTCATTTGGTCAAATAAGACAATACAGTATGCCATTGAAATGTATGTGCTGCATGTATGCAGCACGCGACAATTTCAATGTATGCTCCCGATCTTGTAAAAAGTGGCGGCTCTGGATATATTTTCTGGGGGAGTTAACCTGTCCGAAGGGGGGTGGAACTTGAGCTCGTAGGCCAGAGCTGAAAAGAAGGGTTTGAGAGGGGAATCCCCCTCCCAAATAAGATTTTTTAAAGAAGGAACCTCTGGCTGTGACAGACTTTTGATTTAGTGTGACGTGGGTGATTTACTTCCCCACCCCGCTGTTCCGCCACTGCTTGTACAGTAGAACCTGCAGTATTTATCTAGTTCTCAAAACATTATATCCCATATCATAACCTACATCGTAGTCAAAGAGAGGATAGATTCAACATTTACTAAGTCTCATTAGTCCCCGTTTAACCATGCCTGCCACTGAAAAAAATCATTGATACTGAGCATTAGCCACATCATGTGTTACTAACACGTATCAAATCGTGACAACAATCGTAACAATAGTCGCAACAAATGGAGATCCAAAATAGAAACATTACACCAACAGCAAGTATAGACTCATGGACGTAGGAACCCAATTTGACTTTTTTGGGGAGGGGGATCTAACGATTTGCCTGAAAATGTAGGATTTGCCCGAAAAATTATTACATAACTAACTGGAGATATCACCGCACCTTTTTTTTTAAACCAAACTAAGAGTAGGGCCTACTTATATGCATAGGTGCTACCATTGCAAGTAAATGTTTAAGCCTATTCAAGAATTTTCTATTTCTTGGTCAGTCTTTCAATATATAATATTGCTACCAGTATTAGTCGGGCAATCTTAGATCGTTAGTGTAATTACCTGAGTTGTTTACGGAACCATTCTCCTCAAACAAGATTGTTGAAGTTCATTTGTTTGTGTTTTTGTTTTGTTTTGTTCTTTTTTTTTTTTTTGCAGTGCCAGGAAAAATATCAGCATATTGCCCAAAATTACACAGTAATATGTGGTTAGGGGGAGCACTCCCCACCTCCCAGGCCCCCGTCTAGTATCCAAAAGCCTGCCACAATCTTTCTAAAAGAAAAGTGTGTTTTTTATAGAGGGCTGAAAAAAAAGTTGTCTCGTTCATTGGGGTGGCATTTCCACCCCACCCTCAGTACCCCCTCAGTGCATGAAGAAGCTCCTTATAATACGGGGAGGTATCTAAGGCAGTGGCGTATATAAATCTCAGGGGTGGGGGTGTAAGGATGATGTTGAGATTGAACAAGTTTCTAATAATGCAGTACCCTTAGATGCAATTTAGTGCTATATTTTAAATCTTTTGTAGTCAATTTATGTTCAAAGATTTCCAGTATTTTAGACTACTTGGTCCGATATTTGATGGGATACAGTGTTGTGTTTGATTATTAGAAATACTAATAGCAAATTTTACTTTTTGTTTCCAACCAATATGTTCTTCCCAAAATCGCCTTGTCCAAATTAGTGACCATGACGTACTTAATTTCCCGAAGATTTGCTTATTATTATTTTTTTTCATTTCATTTATTCGTCTCAAAACATTAAAATTGACAATAAAGTAAACAGCAAAGAACAAGCACAGACAATATGAGACAGGACACCCCAAAAGTGAACTTAATCACTGTCGAGTGGGGGCCCTTCACAGGAAACAACCAAATGCTTACAGAATATACGTTTGTTTTAAATATATAAGCATTAAAAGTTAAAAATTTAAGTTCAATAGTAAAATAGGCATAATTATATCCAATGCTGATACACTCAATGCATGTGTAATCATTGGCATATTATTTTCTAGTCATGAATTGTTTGTGAGATAAGTATCCCATTCTCTGTTCTTTTTTTTTTTTTTAAAATCAACTATTAGGAAGCAAAAATATACAATGTATTATAATTTTCCATGTTTATAACCGCTCAAAGTTATTACATTTTGTAATGAGAAATATAAAAAAAATAAATATTGCATTGTGTACCGACAAAAATTGGTTTCTACGCCTATACATGAGCATGCTTACTGTCGCGACCTAGCCGATGATTATACTGCTGTCCTGTGTTTGTATTTATGTCCTATTCATCTTATGCTTTCTGCAGTTTTATCAGTGCTACAAAATAATTCAGATCTCAAGTTGCAATGATGTAGGCCCGTATAGGTTTTTCGACCCCTTTCCAAAACTTTGCAAAACCATTTTACGTCTACAATTCAAGAGATTGATTTGATTTGAGTATTTTATATGAACAAATCCATTTCATTTTCTTGCAGCGTTATTTAACTCCCCTTTCGGTGTGTTAACATACACGCTTAGAAATATGTCAATAACAGTTCACTGTAAAATAGAAATTTGCCCAACACAAATTGCCTTATTAGGAATTAACCCCTAGTTTTCTTTACCTTACAGATGTCTGTTGAAACTCAATTAAATGATCTCGCAGATACCGTGATGGAGGTACCGAAAAGAATGCGGATGTTTTCCCTCTCTATGAGATCTCTCTATGCGGAGACAGCGCTGAGCGGATCGTCAGATACCGCCAGGGAGATCATCAAGATACGAGACGACACCAGGAAAGATGCTTTGGTCTATGTCAAAGGAGTTCTGCCAGCATCTACCATGCTGGTAAGAAACCTCAAAGAGTTCTTTGAGAACTACGAAGGACTTTGTTTTGAGGATTGGCAAGAAATTCTCCCTGGCATCTTGGAGGATGTAAAAGGCTACCAGCAATGCTGTGTGGAAGTTGTCGAACTGCACAAGAAGATAATGACCCCATTGAAGAAGAGACAGGATGAAGCAACGGTACTCATTGACGAACTGACGAACTTGACGAATGAATTAAAGAGAAAAAAAAAGAGAACTAGAAGAGTCTGCTGATATCAAAAGTACCTGGGCGGCTGCGCTTTTCTTTGTTCCAGTTGTAAATTTAATTGCAACACCATTACTATGCAAGAGTGCTGATGATGATTTGGTGAAATCGGTAGCGAAAAATGCACAATGCGTTATCAATAATGCAGCAGTTGTTGTGATAAGTGAGACCATGATTCCAGCTCTAGCGGCATTCATTGATGGTTTGGAGGGTATCGCTGGTTTTTTCAAAGTGGTTGAAGAAGAGCTTACTACATTTCATAACAAAGGGGAAATGGCTATGGAGGATGCCAAAAAGCAGCACTACTTATTGATGAAAAGTAAAGCAAAGGAGATCAAGCAAGGTTGTAGGGAGTTCTTCGCCATGATACCTGGAATAACAACCGACTTTGAATGCATTCCACAGTCTGGAAATGACGAGAATTATGTCGACAGATGGTTGAAAAAACAACAGGAGGAGATCAAAGAGAAGTACACGAAATGTCTTACTGGGAAGTTAAGGAGAATGTTGACCTATTTTTCAACCGCTGAAGGGGAAAAGCTAATGATTAAAGGGAAATATTAGAAGAACTTCACACAGAACTCGTGATTATGGTGTTTGTTTCTGCTTAATAATAACATTACCTTCATTTTTGTTAGAGTAATTAATGATTGTGTATAACCTTTATTAGGCATCTAAATAATCATTATTCTTTCCTCTCAGCCAGTACATGTAACGTTTTCACTCCTAGAGACTTTCGTCTGTATGTAAAATTAGGGAATATACTTTAAGTCATTATCTCCGTTCGACGATTTTTGCTAAGCTTACAACAGTTTCATTTGGTCTTTCTCTGATCAGGTGATGCGTGGAAATACGATGAATTGAAAATATAATTTTAAGTTGATCGGCGGCGTGTTGATTGTAAAACTAATTATGACACATGTGCAACTTGTGTTAAGTATTTTGTAGGTAACTGGTACATTTATTTTTTGGCTGAATCTATGTAAATTACAAGTAGATTGTGTTTTTCAGGTATCTAATTGTAAAACTTAGTTTTTTCGTCAAATATTTTGAAGCCTGTAAAACTGTTTTACTTTATACATGTAATGCCTCCCTAGGCCCTATCGCACATGGGAACCTCTAACTCTTCCATGCTCCGCAAACCTCAGGCCAGTTGCGTGGCGGTCGGTGCGATTGCACCGATGACTGTGCCCCGGTGACAAGTGCCTATTAAGAAAAATAACCACCCATCCGCTGAAGCCGATCTTAAAGGGTTAGTATTGATATTAAACTTGCAGTCAGTAAACCAGACGGATCCCATTTACTCTTTACGGCCCATCTAGATATCCAGACGCCCCACCCACCCCCCACCCAATTTAAAAGGCAGTCAATCCAGTAATGTACGTCAAATGGCCACATACACTGTTTAAAGCCCATAGGAATCATCAAATGGGCCCTTGAATTGTTCTTAATTCCTAGCTGCCCCCATCGCATGACGAACCATAATGTAAAGAACAAGTACGGTACGGTAATCAATATCAACTTCAGATATACAGTATCTGAATTTTATCTATTCGTAAACTTAAAGGAAGGTATATGAAGCTTGACATATGGTGTATCATACAGTCATCTGTATTTAGAACGGATGAATCTTACACCTAATATTACACAAATTCGCAAACTGTCACGGGATATCATTTCTTTGTAAACGGAAATCACGTTCTGTATTATGTTGCTTGTATTTACCTGCACATGCATGTATTAACATTTCTTTATTTACTTTTCAATTTTGCTAGCTCATCTTTTTATTTAATTGTTTCAACGTATTTTATGTATACCATTTCTTTTCATTTAGTTAAAATATGTTCGGTCGGTCAGTTTTTTGGAATTAAGTAAATGTTGTTTTTGACCGCAAAAGATAACCTGCACTAAAACATTACAGAGTGTGCAAACTCTCAAACGTTTCAATTTTACGGTTTTTGACTGTTTTCTTTTTAGCTTTTGTCTCTTCCTTTTATATCAGTGATATGTTAGGTACCATAAAATTATTAGTTTATCACTCTATCAAAGAATAAAAACTGATGAGGGAGTTTTACCGATGATCACAAGTAAATTAATGGTTAGAGACACATATATATAAAGTCATAAGAATGGAATCAAATTTATATTTAAAAAATATGTTTTTGTTGTACCAGTAAACATATTTGCAAGAAATCCTGAGCTTTTCAAGTGAAAAAAGATGGAAAAGGACCGTTTGAAATAAAAAATATATGTTGATTGAAAAAAATTTTTTTTTAAATAAATCAGATCTTTCCCAAAAGTGATGAGGGAGTGGGTGATAAACTAATAATGTTTTTTACGGGGCCTTACTTATTATCGTTTGTCCAAATGAAATACACTGTAATTAAGTTTAAAGCCACAATCTGAGTTAAAATTTTCCAATTTTTTGTCACAAATTTCAAAATGAACCTAATATTTTATATCTCTTACGAAAAAAAATCATTGATAATGCCAGTTTCTAGTCCAAGTCCCCTAAGGGAAAGCCAAAAAACTGCATTTGCATTTTTTGAATTCTGTGTCTATCGGTCGTTATTTCAATGCTCTGATTTGTTGGTAGGCTCGAAACAAATCCCAGTCAATTTTCGTTAACAAATTACTCAAAGAGGGATTGTGACATTTAGCTTTCGGATTTGCACGGATATCAATATTTTTGAATCTTTGAAAGTAACGATTTCGGAAGATGCAAACTTGCTCCTCCTCTTTTGACCATATCAGGTTTGTGTTTGCCCCCTCCTACTTTCCAAGGAGGAGGAGTAACGTATATACTACCCATATAAGTATGGAAGCCATATTTCGACCAGAATGTGATATGAGAAAACATTTGCGCGGCGGCCGGACGGACAGAATGAAGCCTTGCACCTTCCCTTGGCGCCTCGCCAAGATCAGTTCCAGGGGCGGATCCAGGGAGTAAGGAGGGGGTGGGGGTGGGAAATCTGGAAACCTGTGGACGAAAAATATTCTTTAGAAAAATGAAAAATAGAATAAAAATATAATTGTTATTTAAAAAATTGAGATTATTCGCGCACGTAGAGGCAGGAGGGGCCAGTTGAGGAACAGCGAAACACATCATAAGCCTTCATTTAGAAACTGGAAATCTCAAGAGGCAGCTAACCCTCTCCTCCTTTCCGGAGGCTAAGGTTGTTTGCAGTGCTAAGGTAAAGTGACAGAAGAGAATGTTTTAGCATCACAGAACGGTTCATCTTATAATTTCACCACATATGTCCATGTATTTTCTTGATTGGAGAATACCAATCCAAGGGCGTCGACCCGTTGGGTGGATGGATGGGAGGAAATGAAATGTAAAATAAGGCATGGGTGGCACCAGCGGAGGGCGGGCCAGGGTAAGGCGGGAAAATTTATTATTACGGCATCTCTAGTTGGCTGGAAATGGCACTCTCAGACTAAAATTTGAATATAATTTTATTTTTTCTCGATTTTTTTTACCTGGCTGCTAAAGTATGTAACGTACATTTTAAATTTGTATTCATGGGTCATAAAATCATTACTTTTTTTTCATATCATTTATTTAAATGAAAGTGAAGTGACCGAGACAACACAGCACAACAGTTTATGTCATTCCTTGACAATTTGCAACCATTGTATGCGTTGGTTCTATTAATTATATATATTTTCTATGTTATTTGACAAGTGATCAACTAAATATTTGAGTTGAATTTAATTAAATATCGGGAAAAGGTGGATTATTTATTGCTATCATTGGAAACCATACATAATCAGAATTTTTCGTACCCTAGTCTAGTTTCATTGTTATATTCCAGTGCTTAGATTTTAAGTATTGACTAAAGCTCATAACAGGATTTAACATTCAAAACACGTCACTATTCTTCATTTTTCATTTATATATATTTGCTTATGTTATAGATTTTATTTATTGTTTCATTTTGAAAATCCTGTTCTGTTTTCAGGGTCGATCTAACCTTTCACCCGTAAAAGTGCCGTGGAATGCCTTCAGGACTCTGTTATCACAGTGTATCTATGGCGGCCGTATTGACTTTGATCAGGCGAGAAATGGAACTATTTTATACCAAATTGAATTGAATTGATTGGAGTGTAGTCTTTGTCCTATTGTTAGTGTGTAGTTAGATTTATATAGCACTTTATAAAGCTAGATAATTTTCTTTAAAATCTAACAATGATTCTTTTAATTTTTGATATAGCATTTGTTGACAGCCTTTGTCAAGTTGTTTACTGTGGAGAGCTATGTGTCCTATTGTTAATGTGTAGTTAGATTTATATAGCTCTTTATAAAGCTAGATGCTTCTCTTTAAAATGTAACGATGATTTTTTTAATTTTTAATGTAGCGTTTGTTGACAGCCTTTGTCAACAAGTTGTTTACTGTGAAGAGCTTTTGATGCCGACTTCCAATTGATCAAGGAATTTGATCAGGGCGATGGGAAAAGCTTATCAATGCCAGACGGAATAAGGTCAAGCAGCTTACTCTCATTTTAAAGGGATGCATTTAATACTGCAACTAACTGTGAAGTAGTTATGATTATTTTTTTTTTTTTTTTATTGAGCTCAAGGCCAAGGATATTCCAAATAGTGGCAAGTGATTGCTGAAATCTACAGTCATAATTAACCTACATACAAGTGTCACAATGTAAACTATCCTATTATAAAGCTAGATAAAAACAAGCCCACCCAACATTGTGCACCCCACTGCCCACCCTACTTTAACAATGGTATATTGCATTTTGGGTGGTTTTTGTTCAGGTGGTTATTGTCCAGGATCGTTTTTGCCCTACATTCACATTCACAAATGAGTCATACACACAAAATGCTCTACATAAACTGAGACTCATTAAGAGGTTTTTGTGTTTGCTTATATCAGACGTGAACGGTGTTTGCAGTGGACAGAGTCGCTACCAGAGAACCAGATCCCATCGTGGCTAGGCCTTCCTAACAATGCTGAGAAAGTGCTTCTCATAACCTTGGGTAAGGCTATAAAATGTCATCATAAAATATAGAATAACGATCGAGGAACTAATAATAATAAAAGTAATAATAATAATAATAATAATAATAATAATAATAATTTAATAATAATTATGATCTTGCATAGGCCCCTGTTTAAACATTGAAATACCTTTTTAAGACTTAGACTTGTTTTTAATATAACCATTTTGTGTTGTTTCTATTTTAAAATATTTGTGCTCATTAGTAATTTAGTTTTATCATTGATCTGATCCATGATGGCGAAATGCTATAGGCCCCTGAAAGTCTGTCAGTAGTAGTTGACAGGTTATCAAAAATTTTGATTTTAAATTGCGTGAAAATGGTCTATTTTTTATATCATGTTTACTCCATTTGCTTCTGTTTTGTAGTGTCAAATAAACTACTACAGACCAAAAATCGTACTCAAGCCCTGTCCAGGCTATCAAATTATGTTTGACAAAAACATGTGACATGCCTAAATATGGTCATAGCATTTTAAGAATGGTCTGGATTTTTATGTTTTTATTGTTTTTTAATACTTTATTTTAGAGCTTAAATCATTTTCTTTGATATTATAGGAAGTAACATTGAATTCTAAGTTGCTGAAGATGAGTCTGTTGGAGGATGAGGAAGACGTATCTGCTGCGTCCGTTGAATTCAGAGAGAGGCACACATCAGATGGTCGGCCATCTTGGATGAGAACACTCAATACATCAGTTGGCCATTGGCAGAGTGTTGTACCAAAAGTATGCTAAGAAATTTCGTTTTTGTTAATTTTCTTCCCCATATTGTCAAGATGTGCTTTATAAATTTTCATTGTATTATGCAATACCTTAAGAAAATGTGTGTCCTAATGGAAAAATCCAACGGTGTATACCACTTGGCCTCATAGCTCAGTTGTTAGAGTATCCAAATGCTAATCGGAAGGTCATGGGTTTGAATTTTGATAAGGACAATATGTGATAGTCCTAATGGAAAAATCCAACGGTGTATACCACTTGGCCTCATAGCTCAGTTGGTAGAGTATCCAAATGCTAATCGGAAGGTCATGGGTTTGAATTCTGATAAGGACAATATGTTTTTCTCGAAAAATTAATTATTAACATTTTAGTTAAGATGAGACACAAACAGATTACCTGTTCAGTGTCAGTGTTTCAGATTCAATCTTTATTTTGTCTTTATCACCCTATGCTTATTATGCTTTTATCATTTGTGTAATTAATATTTGTTTAATTTTTCCAGTCTTTGCCATTACTGAAGAGAACAGCAGACAACATTAAGGATCCTCTTTTCCGATTTTTTGAAAGAGAGGTAAGTAAAACCCTCTTATTTTCCTTGCTATACTGTATTTAAATAAAACTTGGAATAACATTTCAAAACCATTTATGGTGCTTAGTTTCTAATATTTTTGTAATTGTTAATAGTAGTATATATATCATCAATGTTTATCATTTGATTTTAATTAACTGTTTCAGGTTAACCTAGGATCCAGACTGTTGAAGACCGTGCGAGCTGATTTGGAGAATGTAGCACAAGTCTGTCAGGGTAAGAAGAAACAGACCATGATAGGGCTCTTATATCTGACTTGGCTAAAGGTATCATACCTACAAACTGGAACAAGTACAAGGCACCGGTCGGCTTGACCGTCATTCAGTGGGTTGGTGACTTCAGCGAGAGAATCAAACAGCTGCAGCGAATCTCAACGGCAACTGCTCAAGGTGGAGCTAAGGAACTTAAGGTAAATTAAATCAAAAGTTGGCACAGTAGCAAGTAATGTCAAGAATGATAGAGGTGGTATTGATGATGATGATTCAGTTGATGATGA